CAAGTAACTCCAAACTGACGGGTTGTGGAGGTTCAGGGCCGCATTGATCTCAGTGTCAACCATGAGTAGCGGCCTCCACCAACATCATTCCATTTCTTGGCATCAGCTCCACTGAAAAGGTGAACAATGACACCCTTTCCAGTCATGTGGGCCCGTCGCAACCTTCGATTCCAGGGCGGAGCTGTGGGTTCTTGACTTTGACCAGCCATGTGCTGGAGAACTTGAAGTGGTAGTTCAGGAAAACGCTTGCCACCAACTTCGATCTTCATCAGAGAGAGCCACCTGCCCCTGATCCTCCATCTCAAACTGCGCCAACATGTCCAGCGCAGGCTGCCGATGCATAATGGGACATCCATTCCTCAGCCAACAGGCGATTGGGCCAAGCGTTGGGTGGTGGATGCTGCATCCCGAACGTCGCCATTCCACCTTGAAGCCGCGCTCAACCAAGAGGCCCAGAGGAATGATCGGCTCAACCTCCGTCAGGGACAGCAAGGTGCGATGCTTGGGGTGGCGATACAAAACTGTTGAGCCTTGTGCCAGCTCCACTTCAACCGGAAAAAGTTCAGCTCGTTCTTCGGGTCGAGCAACACGTAGGGCATGAGTGGCCCCACCATCCAAAAGGGCAAACCCCTGAGTTCCAAACTCCTGAGGGTGAGCACTGATCTGCTTGAGGCGCATCGTCTTCACGGACCGAAGCGTCTTGAGCAGCGTTGCAGCTTCCTGGATGAGGTCTGTGGCAATGTCATTCTTGGGCTTCTCCTCCAGCGTTGACTTGGCCGGAGAACCATGTCCCGAATCCTTCAATCCCCCTCCAGACACCGTCGTCGGCGACAAGGGCGATGGGCTCGAAGTTGATGTAGACCCAGGACTTCCCACTTCCACCTCCTTTTCTTTGGTTGGGCCTTCTTTTGAGCCCTCGGGTGCAACTCCTCGCAAGCGAGCTGCCTTTCTTACATCCTTGAGTTCTTGGGTTGTCGGTGCACACAATCCTTCGCCATGTGACCCTCCCCCGAACAGTAGAAGCACCTGTGCTGTCGGTCCAAGCCCTCCCAGCTATGCCCATAGCCACAAGTGTCTCCTCGTTTACAGCCATGTTGGGTCCCCCAAAACTTGCATGGAGACCGAGGTTTTTCTTCTTGAGCGCCGGACTGCGTCGCCTTCACCACCGGAGTCTTTTCATTGGTAGTGGTCGAGCTCGTCATGTTGGCGGCACCGTTAGGGACTGCGATGACCAGAGCTAGCTCCTCCAATTCCGCTTGCAGGTACTCGCTGAGGTCCTTGATGGAGTTCATCTCCGGGCGTTGATCAACCAACAATTCCTCACGCACAGTTGAGACTCTGTACGCAACTTGACTGCCTCCCAGCTTGGCCAGCGAGTTGATGATCTTGCCAAGGACATTCATGAGGATCAGCGGGTCTGGCAGCGTGACTTTAAGTTCTTCAGCTCGCTGCAACCATCGGCGCCATTGCCGCATTGTTGCCAAGAGCTCCGTGACGGAGTGGCCCACCTTCACCTCGGTGAGGCTCTTGAGAAGCGTTGTGCGTTCAGCTCCTCCTCCAGGTTGGAATACTACAAACAACTTGAACAAAATGCTCACAGTTGTGACGTGTCGAGAGGAGATGACATCTCTTCTCAGTTGTTCAGGCAGGATGCCCAGCAGCAATGACACTCCCCGCTGCTCCACTCTCTGGTACAAGGGGTCTACAGTGACATCTTTTGGCCGCAGGCGCAACCTCTCCAAGGGCGTGGCCACCAGCCACTGTTCATATAGTTCACGAGCGGCAGACAGGCATCCATCCCACCAAAACTGTAAGGTAGAGGACAAATCCGCCATCAATGGATAGGCCACAGACAGCCAATCCCCAAACTGCAGTGCCGCGCCTTCGGATGAAGGTAGAGGAAGTGCAGGAAGATCCAAAGCCCTGACAGTCTCTGGGACCACCGGAGCCGCCGGAGTGTGAGCATCACCATGAGGTCGTCCACCATGAAGGCCTGGGGGAGGATCTGGTCCTGACCCGGGAGGTCCACCTGCACCTGAGGGATCACCATGTGGTAGTCCAGGATGTGTTGTAGTTCCACGACCATCAACTCCACCACTGGCAACGGAGGCATACGACGATGCATCACCACCACCTGCTCCATCAGTTATGCGTTTGACTTCACGAGCGAACCTTTCCTCCGCCTCTTTGAGGATCTGGGTACGAAGTCTCTCAACATCCCCAGGTCCTGGACTTCCATTGGTAGCCCGAGCTCCAGCACTTTCCGCCATTCTCACATGACCTTCACCTCGTGCAGGTTGTTGAATTGAAGTGGTCCAGAAGGGGTTCACAGTGGCAAGGGGGCCCTGTGGTGTGCGATATGGTTCAAGCAATCTGGGTTTCACCTCCTCCCGCTCTACCTGCCTTATGCCTGCAGGCGTGCCCATTCGTGGATCACCATGTGGAGCTCCAGGTTGATGTGGAGTTCCAGCCAACGAACCTTGCCCACCAAAGAGTCCGCCTCCTGGTCGATGAGGTAGTCCCGAACCCGGTCCTTGAGGTAGTTCAGAACCTCGAAGAAGGGGATCTAAAAGTCCCGGAGCCGGCGAAGGTGGCACATGGTGGCCTAATGCCTGTCAACAACTCGAACGACTGGCGTGCTGCTTCTTGCAATCCGCCCAGACCCAAGGCGTTAGCCCGAGGATCATGCAAGGCGCTCATGAGGCCTCCAGCCCCGGCCAGCTGGCCAGCTGATGCATCGTGATGCCCTCCATGATGTCCAGGTTGAGGTGCCAAACTTCCCTCTCTTCTTCTTCCTTGAGATTCATTTTCCTCAGCCGTAGGGTGCATAGCCAGGCGCGGGACAGCAAGATCATCTTCTGCAGGTAGTGACGAGGCCCGAGCTGCTCGTTGCTCCTTGAGCAACCGGTCCAACTTTTGATCTGCTGTCTCTACAGGCGGTGGCCTTCTTCGATCTTCTCGAGGTGCACGTCGAGGCTCCTGCGCTTCAGCGGCAGCAGCTGGCTCTCGTGAGCCCTGTCGGCGCCGGCGCTGGAGGGTGGCCATCGCGGCCAACAACCACTCTGCTCGCTCAGCAGCAGTGGGTGGACTTCGAAAACACCTAGCACCTTGGGCTCATAACCTAAGGAGGTTGGGGTGTACAAAGCAAGCGGTCTTTTCCACCTGCTCAGCTTGAGCCAAACCGTTTGGTTGGCGAGTTCATCAACAGCTCGAATCGAAGTGCTCGATCGAAAAGCGATAATGCTCATGAGGTGCATGGTTTCTATGCCACAGAAACAATTATGCCGCACAGGCTGACCCTACTAGAGCCTACTGGTGCACTACTGAGGGGCCCTGGCGCACCCTAGAAATATTTTTAAACAACTGTTTGGTCACATTTTTTCAAGCGCAACAACTCGACAAATTGTTCCAGGGGTGCTTTCAGTTCACAGCCCAATCGAATAATTAAGACAACCCCTTGGAACAGTCACGCGTGCCACGCACCTGCCATTGGTAGCAAGCAGCGCTGCTTCACCTGTTCTCAATCCCATTGACTAAAATTCATTGGATCTCGTGGCACATATTGGCTATGAAATAGGCATTCTCCCACAGAAACACAATTGTGTGGCAAATATTTGCCGTCAGCCGCTGCCGGGAAAAATGCCCCAGGTGGGCCCTCGTTCAAAACATTCCCTTGGAATAATTGATTACACCTGCTACACACCTGCTACACACCTGCTACTGGCAACAAGGAGTGGTGGAGCACCTGTTCGTTGTTCCACTGTCACTGACTAGAACCTGCTAATTATTTGCTGTCGGCCCGGCATGCCACAACTGGTTACAGTATTCTACGGGTGGTCGCAGTTCACACAGACCAGTAGAATAATTAGGCCTGCTATAGAAACTGTGCCGAAGTACTGGCCATATGAAGTTCTCATACGTTTCCTAGAGGGGTTCCGCACCTTGATGTGGATGAGATTTCCTACAGATCTCTAATTGGACCAAATTGATCGAAATGAGACTTTGTGCAGAGAGTGCCGAAGTGGGGTCACAAATGCAGTGATTCAAAAGAAGTGCGGTTGCTTGTGTCGTTCGAGTGTTGTTTTGATGTGTTTTTGATATGATGATGTAGAGATAACCGAAAGACATTCCAGCAACTCAACCAGTTAGCAGAATAGTTTTTGGAACCAAGTCAAGAGGGGCCAACGTACATTAGACATATTCCTGGGGAGTTTGACAGGGATTTGGATACCAACCCCGGCCGTTTTTTGTGTTACCGGCGCTTCGTCATTTGCTATCTCGATTTTTTTGGCTTTGTTTGGCACGCACTTTTCAACAAGCGGACTGCTGAAAAGACGTGAGCTAGAACTGCCCAGAGCAGACGGGGGCAACCTAGACACCGCAGGCCTCGCGCAAATCAGGCATTTTCGGTGTAATGGCTCTTGTGATTTCCGGTGTCCCGGCTCTCAATTTGTGGAGTTCGTTTTCGGTGTCAACTTTGTGTTGTAGCTATGATGGCCGATCTTCATGTTGTGTGCATGCGCAGCTCTAATGCAAAAACATACGGTACTTCGAGGCCATACTTCATAAAGGGCACGTAAAATGGATCCAATGTGGTCATGGATAGAAAGCAGCGCTGGAAACGGTCTGCCGTTGGGCATGCAAGAGGTGCGCATTTTGGTTTGGCCGCAGTTGGCAACTTCAGACGCTTCTGGAGAGAAGACCCTCGACATCCCTCGACATCCAATATGCCGCAACAGAGGTTCCAGGGGTCTAAGAGGAGAGAGGTTTCAACAGAAAAAATCAGAAATGAAGGTTGAGAGCAGAGAGGAGGTTCGACATTTTTCAGCGTAGGTTTTAAGGTGTAAAAAACGATAAAACAATCAACGTGGAAAACAAAACGTGATTTAAAAACCACGGGTGTGAAACACAACGTTCTGACGCATTTACTTCGTAGAGCTTGCCTTCATCGATTTTTCTGATTGTTTGCCGCCAGCTGGCCGAATGCATGAATTGAGATGGCTGCGCGCAATACATGCCACAAATTTCAGCAGGGTGCGATGGCAAACGTGTTTCCATATCATTCAACCAATGTTTTAGGCCCAAGCCTAAAACTGGCTGCAGCATGGAATGCGCAAGCCCGACCATTCAGCTAGCAGGTGGCTGGTCTAGATTTGCCAGCGATGCCGCTCCCGCTTTGCCTGAGCAACGCCTGCTGCCAACTGCCAATCTTTTGAAGGCGATGACAAGTTTCCGTGGCATAGCACCTCGGCTTGAGCGAAAAGTTTTTTGGACACATGAAACATGTGATATAAATCAGCGATACCGAAAGAACACACAATAAAAACATTGAACATGCGACTCGGCAACATTTTTCTACAAAACACATTGTCATGACAGGCTCTTCTATTCATTTTGCTCGCGAATGTCATTTGCGCAAATTTCTGTCATCCAGATTTTGGCATACAGCAGCACGACGAGTGGAAACCATACCTAGTTGCCAGTTGCACACTCTTTGGTATTGTCTTGATTGCTGATGGCCTGCCTGCAGATGCAGTGCTTCTTGGACTGTCAGTATTGTTTGTCCTAAGTGGGGTCATCACAGAACGTCAAGCTTTCGCCGGATTTGCAAGCCCTGGGGTAGCTGCATATGCCGCTCTTTTCATTCTCTCGGAGGCATTTGCAGAGGTAAAGATTCTGGACTCGGTGGTTTTTCGGATCCTAGGGCACCCGGCTGGCCTTAGAATGGCGCAATGTCGGATCACCATCCCGGTGGCCATCGCCTCAGCCATTTTCAACAATGGTCCGCTGGTTGCCATGCTTGTGCCCGTGGTGCAAGCATGGGCCCAGCGTCACGGGCATGCATCTGGACAGCTTTTGATGCCTCTTGCGTTTGCATCCACACTAGGCGGAACACTCACGATGATTGGCTCAGCTGCCAACTTGTTGGCGCAAGATTGCGCTCGAGAATTGCCTACGCCTGTTGAACTGTCTTTCTTTTCGCTCACTCCGTACTCCCTTCCGCTCAGTATGGTTGGCATTGGCTACATGCTTGCTGCAGCTCGCTGGCTTCTCCCACGGCTTTGCCAAGACTCTTTGGACAAAGATCCAAAGTACCAACGCAGTCCAATTCGGGGAGACCAAGAGCTGCTTCTTGACATTGAGGAACCATTTGCCGCTGAATTGCGTCACTTCCAAATCCTTTTCGTGGTCCGTCGCAGGTGCCCTTCCATAGGAAGCACACTTCAAGAACTTGGATTTTCCCGGTTGCCAGATGCACGCGCTTTGGGTTTGCATCGCGCTGGTGAAGTACTTCAAAATACATTTCACACACCTTTGGCTCATGGAGATGTATTGAAAATGACTGCATCTGCTGCTAGCATTGCCCGGCTTCGGAGAAGTTATGACGGACTTGAGCCAGCTGTGTTTCGAGATTTGGAGGGTCTGGGTGGTCGGAGAAGGCACCGGCGACTCTTTGAGGTGGTTGTGGCAGATTCCAGCTTGGTACAGTTGCAGTCACTGGCAGAGCAGAAGGCAAAACTGTTTCAAAAAGGTTGCGTGATCCTCGCAATCCGTCATGACAAAGGCAGCCTTGACGTTTCTCCAAATCGAATTGTTGCCGGGCAGATCTTGCTTCTGGAAGCTTTTCCTGGAATGGCTGACAGGATGGCAGACTTTTCGGTGATTGCCCCTGTGGAGGCTTCCAAACCTCCAAGGCAAGGGAAGCAGCAGGACCGAATGCGAGGGATGCTTTGCTTGATGGGCTTCTTCACAGTCATCGTGCTGAATGGCTTCAGCATACTTCCTTTGGCCACGGCAGTGCTTTTCTTGGACTTCCTTTGCTGCTTTGCGAAGGTGTTGGGCTGGCGAGAGGCAGTGCAATCCGTCAACGGGGGCGTAGTTATGACCATTGCGGCCTCCTTTGGGATTTCAGCAGCGCTAACCCAGACAGGGGTAGCACATGCACTTGCCAACGCTTTACTTGGACTTGGTTTGGGATTTGGTCCGTTCGGGGTGCTCTGTATGGTTTACATTGGAGCAGCCTTTCTCACCAACATTATTAGCAACACAGCCACTTGTGTGATGATGATTCCGGTGGCTGCTCACATATCAGAGGAGCTGCAAGAAACCATGTGCCAACTGAGCGTAAAGACCCTGCTTGTGACTGTCGTGCTCGCGTCCAACGCAGCTTTTGCAACACCTTTGGGATCTCCTTGCAATATCCTTGTGGTCGATGCCGGTGATTACGATTTCCGAGACTTTCTGCGTTTTGGAGGGCTGCTACAAATCGTTATGATGTTGTCCACCTGTAGCCTGCTGTATGCGTGTCCGTGTGCATAGCAGCATAGCGCAATCGCAAGCATGCTGAAAAATGTGTTTTACTTTGTTCTTTGGGATTGAGTGGGTTGCAGCTTGCGCGCATGCCTTGCGTTTGGTGCCTCCATGTCCATCCTGTTCCGGCAGCACCAGCTCAATAGCTTAAGGAGTCCGAAGTAGAAAATCCCGCATCCATGGTGTAAGATGGTGTAAGTTGATTGAAACTGCAATCCAGAAACGTTGCCTTTGACAGCAACAAGGGAACTCATCACACGCTGGACAAACCAGTCCTTTGACACCTTCTCAACAGATGCCAACAGCACGCCGAAGGCTGAGTTTGTGTTTGAGTAATTGGGCTTGGACATGGTTGCATATTTTGGTTTCAAGTGCCTTCTGCCTCACCGACCTGCAGGATGGGTAGCATGGAGGTAGCCAAACTTGCTTTCAAGTGAACTTAGATTCATTGCATCGTGGCGTGGGACCAGCCCGCGAACCACAATCGTTGAAAGAGCAAGCAGCAAAAGGAGCGAATATTAATAACAGAACATACTTCTTTGGAAGGGATTCAAGCCCACTCTTAGAAGGTGCTGAGTAGGTACCCCAGCAAGCAGACACAACAAAAGGATTCAGCGCTGCCTTTGTTGGCGTTTGCAAGGGCAAAGGCCCCTGGCTCAAACAACACATTCGTGTGCAGGAGAATAATCATTCTGATCGGACTTCTAGTAGATTCAAAGTTCAAGTTCTCTGATAGGATATTGAGTTCCTTAAGATCGCAGAACTCAGTGCAGGCAGTGCAGGGATACTGACTATGCCATACCATGCCACATTGCGCCATTGCTTTGCCGATGTCGATATGCTGGGAAGCTGGATGCTGAAGGAAGAGAAAGTTGGGTGAAATACTTTATCTCTATTCGTATGGATGACGGACGATGTGGCCGAAGACGACGGACGAGGGCCAAGAATGGGGAGCATCTCAGAACGTCCACCCCTTCCTCCAGATCTGCAGTTTCCTTGTGTCCGGCTCACAGATTGCAGAAAATGTCAGCATCGACATGAGGCCGCAAATGCCCGTGTTGGAAGCAAATCACCCCGGAAGCCGTTGGATGTCAGAAGGCCCATGCCAACTCCCCGTCGCTCTGCCAAGCACTCATGCCAGAGTCCGGTCAGTCAAGACAAAGCTGAAGAAGTCCAGCCCTGCCAGCAAATCATGGATCTACTCGCACTTTTTACAAAACGAATACAAGGATTCTTTTCAACACTGATGGGGTTCAACCATCCCCACATGGACAGGCTTGAGATTGCTCTACAGCAGCAGGTGAGGTCACTTGCTGAAGGGCTGATGGCGGTGATGACAAAGCAACGTGTTTTTCTCTCAATCCGATCTGCAGCAAGGGAGAAGAAACTTTGGGATCTTTTGCGGAAGCGCCACGCTTCTTTCTTTGAACGTGCCTTGGCACGGTCTCTTGAAAACTCAACGTTGACACCATTAGCACCTATTAGCTGTTGCAATGGACCTGTCAATCAATTTGTGTGAAAGCTTTGCCAGCAGGTGGCCAGCAGCTGAAGGGATATGTATCGGCTGCATCTGAGGACACTGCACCACTAATTAAACAGGTGCAGGCAGACACAGCTGAAAATCACCTTTTTGACCACCGCACACAGGAGGCCGCTATGAAGCAAGCTGCTCTTGCTTCATGTGTGCTAGCGCGTGGACGTGCTGAGAAGGTCGGAGCATTTGCGGCAAAGCTTCGGCAGGATGCATGCCTCCAGGCCTGGTGACATACCAGTAGCAGGCAGAGAGAGGCTTGAGCTAGCAAAGAAATAGCTTCTATACTCTGTAGTCGTGTACTTTTGAAATGCCAGTGTGATTTTGCCAGCAAGCATTGTAGCCAGCATCGCCTTGTGCAGAGTGAAGAGTGTAATGTGACAGCTTGATCATCTTGAATCTCGAATCATTTTGACATCCAGTTGCCTCGAGGCAGCTGCGTCAGAGTCTTGCCTAAGTCTGGAGCAGTGAGTCACCAGCATTCGGATGACCTGTGTGATTGCGGGTCACCGAGGCTTGCTGGCAGGGATGGCGTCGCTTTGCTAGGACAAGGGCGCAAACAAGGAAAGCCGTCCGCACGTGCAGACCACAAACTTCAGAGCCCTAGCTGAAGAGCTTTGAGGAAAGGACTCCAATTACACCCCGGGAGGGCGCGATGAAGTAGGTTCTGACAAGTCTTGCCGTCTCCTGTGCGAACATAGTTTTGCTTGTTTTCTTGCTAACATGATGTTTCTGACCTACATGGCCCCCCCCTATTCTGTCTTTGTTACAATGGGAAACCGTAGACGGTCTGTACAGGAAGGTTGAGTCATCACAGAGACACATGACATACTTTAACGAGTTAACCCCTACACAGACAACACAGGTGTCAGACATTGTCAGACCGTCTACAGTATATGCACTCAGGGGGTGCAAATTAATTGTCGAAATCATGGTTCAGTGGGGAAAGACAATTGCATTGATTCCTTTTAAAATATTTAAGGGCTGCCGCCCAGTGCCGCCGACCCCAGGAAGGGAAAC